TAACAAATTTATTCTCAAAATTTGATCAAATTCCTATATTATGTCAAAAATGACTGGAGAACCTTCTTAAATAACATTAAATTTAGATAATATTATTTTCTATAAATTCTATATTAATCGAAAGACGAGATATCTTCAAACAATCAATCTATTAATGTAAATGCTATCATATATGTATATAATAAAAAGGGATAAATAATTCGAAATCTCGATAAGAAAATGCAACTTAATGTTGTCATTTTGCTGAAATTCGCCGCATCTTGTGCTTTATATTTATAGTATTGTTGTATTTTTTAATATTTAAAATGTTGTAAATTGAAAAGCTGGATAGATTCTAGAAATCTATTCTCCAATTAATCGTAAAGTTCTTCTAATTAAATTTGTAACTTGTTGGTAGTTATACGAAACTATTCTGAAGCAATTAGCAAGGGTAACCAGTGGCTGCGATAATGTTAATGAACGGAAGTTTCCTTGTGTGGCATGTCACTCGTCATACGCACATCTACCTCGGGCAATGACGCACACTCGTTTATTTCTCTTTCTCTCCGTACGACAATTAAATGTTGCGGTTACTCGGTATTTTGCCTCCTATCAATAATTGCGTAACAATCAAGGCGTTCGATGTAACAAGAGTACGTGATTTTCGAGGAAATAATCACTTAATCAACTTAATGTAATCATGATATAGAATTCCCGAAATCAATATAAAATTCATATGAAATCCCTACGTATAATCCAATAATTACATATACAACTACCAGAAATCATTGTGTAATATTAAATAAAATCGTTTATTTTACCAAAAATAACCTCATACATACACTGACAAAAAATAGCCTAAATTTAAATAAATATTTATTTGAATACTGCCAACTAAACATTTACTTACAATAAATAAATATTTACTTTTAATAAAAAGAAGTGATTGTTAAATCACTTCTTTTTATTAATGTGTGTGTGTTCAAATTAATGTTTTTTATACCAAATAAATATATTTAGTAAATATTTAATTGGTACTATTCAAATAAATATTTATTGAAATTTAGGATTATTTTTTTCTCAGTGCAGTGAACAAAATTATTTATAATCAAATGAAGCTATACAAAATTAAATGAAATCATGTAATCTATGAGACAATATTTCAGCTAGTGACCACCCCCTCGGTGATTTTTTCATTCTTTACCTTTTAAGAATTTCGAAACGTAAGTCTTCAAGAGAATTTTACGTTAAAATCGACTTGAATTTAGATTAAAGTTCTCCGACTAATTTCTTCATAAAAGATCGAGTTGAATGAACGTTGCACCTTTATAAGATACAATATTCCTAGAATATGTTATATGAATATTAAAAAGAGTGAACAATATTCATTCTAGGAATATTGTTTGCTATAAGAATCGAACAACTTAATCAGATGATTGATTCTCCGAGCACTCGTAACTCGCAGATCCTTTTGATTCCGTATTTTGCTATGCGTTCCTCAGGTGCACGAGATGGATCTACTGCCGAAGCAGATGTGCCACCGGTGTAGCTACAAGTTGGAGGAATTCCACAAGTTCTACGTGGACTGCCTGAAGACGGATGCGGCGCTCAAAAGTCAACTGTCGTGGATGCGGAAGGATGGCGTTAGGGAGAAAATTGGCGTACCGATGGTGCATATCGAGAATATGAAGGAGATCAAAGCGGAGCCGCTTGACTACGACGTGTACGAGCTGGAGCCGTTGGTGGAAAACATCGACTACATTAACTCTATGAACTCGGTGACGTTCCCGGCCGGCAGCATTCACAACGGGTTGACATACACGACGTTCTCCCGATGTTGCTGTGATAAGAAGGATCAGAGCAGATCGAGAAGAACAACAGCGGAACTATGTCAGAATTATCAAGGACAAATGGATAGATGCGACAGAATTGCGAACGTCTCGCAGAAGAGGACTTTCGAGGACGCTGCACGATTAAAACCGATTAAGCGAAATGTCTTTACGCAGTCCGTGTTCCCAGATTGCCCGCAGAATCGCCTGCAGCGTGTCGAGAACGTCGTCGAAAACGCCGTCGAAAATGTACGAGATCGTCTGGTCACAGATACGAGTATCAAAAATAACGTAGCCACTCCGGAAACGCGGAACCATTGTCACGCTGGACTCGGAACGCCTCCTAAGAATCAAGCGGTAGCCAGGAGCACAATAATGCGGAACCTGAGACCCAGGAAAAATATGAATTACGCGCAGGATAAAAGCAAAATATCAAGTGTCAATCCGAGACCATCTACATTGACCAAGTCAAATGTTTCTGAGGCGACATCTTCTCCGAACTTTAAGCTGATGCGGCAGATCAAGGTTGAGTTGATAGACGAGTTCGAAGGACGAAACTTAAGACCGAGGAAGAATGTTGTGGATTATCAGGAGCCAAAGATGAAGAAGATTTCGGATTCTCGCACGAAGAAGCGCAAATTGAACGAGAAAAGCTTGAAAAACGACAGTACGTTGAATGCTTTGGATTTCAAGATAAAACAAGAGGCACCAGACGATTTGGAGAATACGATGCTCAGTGAAACAACCAATACGACGCCACGATTACCGAGCAAGTTTGTCACTTTACCCGCGAAGGTTCAAGCAATGACGAGTGACAATAGCATCAGTCTGCGAGATGACTATCTCAAGTCGCAATTTCGAGGTCAGTTTCAGTTGGCCGAACGAAATTCGCTTTCCAACATCGTGAGAAATAGACTAGCGAAGACAAAGAAGACGTATCAGTTTCCCAGAGCAAACTGTTCGCCAAAATACCTGAGAAGTCAGGATGTTTATCTGAGGAACGGTAAAACAAAGAATAACACGGAGTGGTCAGTGAAGAAATTGCAGACGAGAAAGTTGATAAACACGATCAACAAGAAGAAATCACCGATGTCGAAGTTATCCGAAAATATCAAGCATTATTGCGAGTCGTGCAATGTCAAATTTATAAACAAAGAATTATTCAGACTACATGCATGTTATTACGATTGATCTTTCGCGACAAGCACGAGATCAACGAGCTGTCTGAGAATCGTTCGAAGGATTAAGATGTCTTCTAGATATCTCTGCTAACGTTTGAAAAAGATTAGGACACTTCGCGATGAAGTGTAAAAGATGCATAAATGATTTAGAAGGAATCTTCACGATTGTACGATAATGTATGTATATACATGTACGTATATTTCGATTTGCTTCCAATCTTTTTCTTTCGTATATTTCGTTTCCATAAAATGGAAAAGGCTCTTGTTTAAATTTAGACATCTTATAAGGATAACGAGTCGATAATTCGTAAAACGTGCCTATCCCTAAAAATTTGACCAAGTTTTTTGCAATATTGACACTAGTTATCTGATTATTGACTTTCTCTTTTTTTTTTCTTGATGAGGTAGATTTTTCTGTTAAGATTATCAAGTGCAAGAATAAATATAGAAAATTCTGTATGTACATAATGTACTTTATTTAAATTTAATATTACACATTGTATCTTTACTGTATCATTTATTGCGTAAGCTATATGTATATATAATGTGTATTATATATTATGTATTATATATTATATATATATATATACACGTACATTATATTATTGTATATATCTATATATATATATATACTTAGATATTGTTTACTGAGTTAAGTACATTGAATTATAACAATTATTATCAGGG